ATTAGTTAGTCGATAGTTATATTATATAGTAGATAGATAAAAAGGATCTTAATTGGCTATTAGCAATGTGATACAGCTACATGATACTGAGTAACATCTGTGATGTTATTATCATCTTACAAACTCCAAGTACTCCTATATAAGTTTTATGTATCATAGCACCAAATTACTGTGCCAAGTGCTGCAACACAAGAATTCCAAGTATCCCCAACATGAATCCCAAGTGTCCCTGCACAAACCCCAAGTATCCCTGCACAAACCTCAAGTGCCTTTGCATGGATCCAAGTACCTAAACACAAGCCCTAAGTGTTTTAAGCATGAATGACAAATGATATAAACAATATCCCCAGTTGCCTCTGCACAGTCCTCACTACCCCAAGCACAGTATTATCTAATATTGTTTGAACCTTTACTATCCCAACTACAATGATGTCTAATATTGTTCGAACCCCCATTATTCCGAGTACAGTATCAAGTAATGTTGCTCGAATCCCCACTATCTCCACTAGATAAAAAAATATATAAAGGATAGCTTTTACCCTTCCTTGTCAATTCCAAGTTCCTATACTTCAACTTAGACCCTTCTATCTTTACCCCTAACTTGTAAAAGTGATATTTTCTCTCTAGGGTAATTCTTACAGGCAAGGTTGTCACTGTGTGTTTAATTAATAAAAGTTAATTATATACTGTTACTATCTCAAACCATTTGTCTGCTACTGTGTATTACACCTCCACCCCATATATAGTTGCAATAGTCAATCACTGTACTAGGTAACCTTGTTACTTAGTTGTATTGTACCAAGAAGGCTACAACCCTGTAACATTATAAAATCTGCTAAAAAAAATTTTAAAGTATGAGATTAAATATTTAGTAAGAAAGATAAACAAAGTAACAGAATGCAAAATTAAAAGAAGTGTATACAGAATAATAGCAGTAATAAAAGTAAAAAAAGAAGAGAAACAAGCATTTCTATAGGTAATTTCTTTAAGAAATAAGAAATTGGCAAAAATAATAATAGGTAAAAAAGAAGAAGAAAAGAAAGAAGAAAGAAATCAATTTACTGTAAAACTGAAAGGAATATCAAAAGGAATCTTTGAACTAATTTTATTATAAGAACTCAAAGCAAAAAAGGCAATAGCAATATATATTTTACTAAACAGATAGGAAAAACCAAAAAACTATGCAGTAATATTATTTAAAAACCAAGTAGACATAAATATAATGACCAAAAAGAAAGTTTGATACAATAGAACCTTAATGTTTTAGAAAACCAAAACAAGAAAAATAGATAAAGAAGTGTATGAAAATAGTAGCAAAACATGAAAGGTACAAAGAAAAAAAGCAACAAAAAACATGTTTTCAGAAGAAGAACATATAAGCATAAAGGAGTCTATAAACAAAAACAAGTATAATATGAGGTTAAAAAATAAAAAAAATGAATAAGAGAACAGAATCTATTAGAACAAAAAAAAGAACAAAAAGAACCTTACTGTTATAGTTCAAAAACATGAAAGGCCAAGAAACTAAAAATATAAAGAAACTGCAAGAGCAGATACTAGATATAGAAAACATACTAAGCCAAATACAAGAAATAGGCAGATAATATAGAAATGGTACAAGACCAATTAAAAGAAAAGTGTAAAAAAATAAAATAAAAAATAAAAATAGTATATTATAATATTAATAGTTTAAAAACCAAAAATTAGAAGCTTAAAAATTTACTTGTCTAGGTAGAAGAAGAAAAAATTACAAAACTAGAAGTTATATCAAATATTGGAATAATGTAGCAAAAGACAAGAAAAAAGATTTAGATATAGAAATTTTAATAGAAGAATAATAAAAAAAATATATAAATGCAGTCAAAAAGATAAATAAATATATAATAAAAATTATATTATACTTTAAGCAAATAGAATTAATAATAATAAAAGTTTATGGGGTGTGGTGACCTAGTAAAGTGGTCAGGTTGTCAACCCCCAAGTGGTAGGTTGAGTGTTCAAATCCCATTGACAGCGAAAATTTGGATAATTACCTATGTAATATTTGTATTACGGCAACTGTTACTAATGATTGGGTTAGGATACCTGTAATGGCAGTCACACCAGCAAGACTGGCAGGTCATGGGGCATCTGTGCAATGTTGGAGTTACATGGAGGAATGCAAACTGACAAATCAGGCGGTACAAACATTAAATAAGTCCTTGTGGCTGTGTAAATCTGTTGAAATTGGATAACAAGAAGTCCATTTGAGAAGACCCAAGTTGAGAGATAGCTGGATCTTCGACGGCCCTACTGTAAAGGCTAGCCTGGGGAAATGAATACCCAGGTTTAGTACCCAGTCCTAGTAGCCAGACAGGCAAAAACCTCCAGGCTGGGAGTCTCGGAGGTACCACCAACCAGGCCGCTAAAACGAACCAGAGGAAAAGGATATCGGACTGACCTGATATACTGATGGACTGATTATAGTTCTACACGGGCTATTAGGATTGGGAGTTTGGTAAAAGGGCAAAGGAAAAGGCAAAGGTATACTAAAGTACTGGGGTTATGCTGTGAAGTAGATGCTGGGGTCTAAGTGAACTCTACAAGGGCATAGCAGTTTAATAGTTAGCCCTGACCGCAAGTGTTGGTTCTGCTATAGTGATACCTAGGTCAGCTGTAAAAATAGGTACAGAAGGCTCTGGGGGGATTACCTCGAGGATAAATTAGTCCTAAGGTTGAGGATGATGATCTGGTACATCTGAGATGACCAGTAATGTTAACACAGGTTACAGGTTCAGAGGGTTTAAAGTAGAACACCCAAGCAGGAGTGTTAGATATAGCAATTAGTGAGGAACCTTCAGGTAGACTCCTTAAATAAGTAATATAGAAAAGTTACATGTGTAGCCAATTGTATACTCTCCTGTAGTGGTTCATTGAACCACAATACTGATAAGTGATTAATAAAAGTCAAAAAACCAAAGAGGTCACCTTAATACCAAAAAAAAAAATAATAAAAGTTTATATACTGCTAAGTAACAAAAATATAAGAAGAAAAATTCAATAAAAAATAGTAAAGATTATTATGAAAAAGAATAAACAAGCACAAATAGTTATTATAAAAAACTTTAACTATACAGTAAACAATGTTTTAAATAAACAAAACTTATAAGCTACAAGCTATAAAAGATTGCCAATATTTAGTTAAATAAAACAACAAGACTTTTATAATATATATAGAGAAATGCATCCAACTAAACAAAGATACCCCTATAAAAAATTATTAACAGATACATTCAGGTTTTGATCCAGATGGATGGAAACTATTCCGGTTATGTTCCGAGTAGAAAATTTATAGGATAAATCCAAATTTCTAACTTAGATGTTATTCCGGAAACGTTCCTAAAAGTTTTCAGATATAAATATAATCCAGAAATATTCATGTTTTAGATTTATATTGTCAAATCAAGATTTGACATCGAATGTAGATATAATCCAGAAAATTTCAGTTTAAAATTTCTATTATCGAATTAAAACTTAATACTAATATCGATGTGCATGCTAGATTTTTAATTTTACAATATATAGCTTTATTTAATGAGATTTAGGGAAAAACTATAATAAAATTTGAAGTCAACTAAATTCAACTTTGCATGATCTAAATATTATGCTTACAAATAACAGAGATGTATATTGGTTTAGACCTTATTATGAATTAAAGTTTTTTTTTTAATTGATTGTCACAAAAGTAAGATATTTCAAATTTTACCAAATGTGACCCAATTTTCTCTATCTATGATAAGAAACTTATTTTCTGCAAGTTTAAGAAATCCAACACAACAGTCAATAGTAGCTGCATTAATGACTCCAGTTTCACCAAAGTTGCGAAAATATAATATATTATTTCCATAGACTTCTGGATTTCTCACCCATTGCACATATGCAAGCATGGATATTACGCCTTCATATTCGTGTGTAAAATAAAACAAAACCTGGCCATAAAATTTTCGCTCCTCAAATTCAGTAGGTGCTCTCGGTCGATGTGCATTTTTATCAACTAGAAGACTTGCCTAAATTAATTCGAGTATTAGCATTTAGATTTTTTTTTACCAAACTGCTTCTCTTGGATAATATGATTAAAATTAACTCACCGCAATTGAATAATTATTTCGCGAGGTATCTCCTTTACGGTTTGTAAGTTTCGAACCGATTACCACCCCAAATTTAGTTCGTAGTTTACCATATTTCCGAATTTTATTTGTCATCTTATTATATTGCTCTACATTAGTAATTATTTTAAAGCAAATCTTGAAAATTCACATACGGTGTAGGAAATCTAAACGCCAATCACTTTATAAACATATTGGAAGCATTTTAAGTTCAGTAACGGCTTATCTTAAATTGTAGAAATACGTATAGAATAGTTGTTATTATTTCTTGGCGTATTATTTCTAAGCAAAAGGCTGAGAATTCTGGATTCTTAAATTTATTGAGATTTATAATTTAAGAAATTAACTTTAATGTAACCTACTAGTATATATAAAGAGATTGAGGTTTTTTAGATTTCCTGCGCCGCATGTATAGTACGTACGTACATATGTACGTACATACCTTAATGCGGCTAATAGCTAAATCAAATACTGTTGCGTAGTACTGCTTGACTTTTTGGATTTCAGTTTTCGACATCATATGTTCTTTAGACAATGAGTATAATTTCTCTTCATTAGAAGCGTGCTTTAATAGGAAAGTTTGATGCTCTTCCAGAAGATCCTCAAAATTTTTCTTATATTCGGCATGATATTGTAAGTGTGCAAATTGTACCCACATTGCTACTTGCTTTATTAAATTCATATATGGGTTCTGCCGGGAGTGAACCAGAGGTATTAACATTCCACATAGTCTTTCCATTGGGAATTGCCACGTTGCCCACGGTGGACCTGTTTCAAAAATTGACTCTGCGACATGTAGGAGGTAATGAAAACTAATCAGAGCCGCTTGAAGGCGTTCAGGATCTTTTTGGTAATATTCACTATATTTTATGAGTAGCAAAAAATGATATTTAATTAGTCATGGTTTTTTTAACTTAAAATACTAAATTAAGCAAAGTTATGAAAAATTAGTGAAATAATCTAAGCCGTATGTATATTCCTTATATATATGGTTTCCTTAACATGTTAATATACCAAATAATTATTTAAAAAAAAAAAATTTTTCTAAAGAAGCGCCCGATTAGGCCACACAAAGTTAATTTTTCGTTTTGCATTACATGGATTTTGAAAATTCGATCGGTCGGTTGGATTTTTTTTTTATTCTAAATTAATAGGCCATGTTCACATCTTATTAATAGCTTTCGTGTAGCCGGAGTTTTAACTTCTGATACTTTCTTGAAATAGCAAAGGTATCTAAGCACTTACTTGTTTGGGTACGATAACTAAGATCCTATGATCTATAATTTCAGGTTCAACCCTAATTAACCACGTAAATTATCATACTTCCCGAAAATCCCTGACAACATTGCTGAAAAATTTCGATATTATTCTTTCTGAATAAGCATGAGTAATTCTTATATGTCTATTAAATAAGTATTAGTTTTTTTGGACTAAATTCATAAAAACTATTAAAATAAGCTTTATTATCCTTGTTTTAGACAAAATTTTAGTAAAAAAATTTTTTTGTTTTTGAAAATTTTGGATCGGCAGGTAATGTAAAACGAAAAATTAATTTGCGTGGCCTTATAATTAAAGTACCTTATGCAATACCCAAAGTGTTGATTTGTGTAATTTTAATAGTTCTAATTTGAATAAAATATTATTCTACATAATTTTTAAAATAAACCCATTTACCGTTCATAATAATTAATAAAACTTATAAAGAGCGTTTTTATTTCATTAAGCTCCTCTTTAGAGATAACTGGTTCAAGACATAATTGAGTTGCTTTGACAAACTTCGCCCACCCATTTATGTGTCTGTAAATTAAAATAAAAATTTAGAAAATAATAATATATAAAATTAAAAGAACTGATTTACCTTTTTGAAAGATGTTCTTGAAGGAGTGGAAGCGAATAGAGGACGGTCCAATTATACCACTCTTCTGCTTTTAGGGTGGTATAATATTTCTGAATGTTAGTCGGAGGTCTTCCGAATTCCATTGGCATCCTTTTACGATTAAGTTCCATTATCCTTCCAATTTTGTTCCAACTATTAACTGAAATTTTATATTCAGTATTATTAAGTTCCTCGTTATTAAAAAATTTGCCAAAGAAGTGACGAAACATGTGTTGTGCTGTATTCTCAAAAAGCGCATGCATTATGTCTACCGGAAACGATGCTGGAAAATTAATTGAACGCAATTCAAACAAAATACTATGTCCAATTACACCAGTATCACATGCTATTCTATGTCGTTCAGCTCCACGTTTGCTTTCTATCATTTTGATGTCTTGAAGATAGCTGGTATGAGTGCGCATTGGTAAGTTATTTGGATTATATGTTGTACCGTTGTATCCTTTTGGTGGTGAAAGGGGAAAGTATATATGCCGAGCTGTTTCGGAATATATTCCACGCAAATAGCAAAAGCGACACCCACTATAGGCGTTATGACCGGAAACACACATGAGTTTGGATATAGCTGGAATGTCTCCAGACCATGATAATATATAGCCGCGCAATGTAAATGTTTTTTGCGATAATGCGTCATAGCACGGTATACCTGCTATAGAAAAAATTTTTATACTTGTTATTCATATTACAAATTTGAACACAGGCCATTCAAAATTAATTAATGGGTTTTTTTTTAACCCGGCTAGATCGAAATTTGAAAACTTTTAAAAAAATAATTTTATATGTTCTAATAAGCGGGTGAGTAGAAGCTGTACCCGTTTATCTGATAACCCGGAAACCGATATTTGGATTTAACTTTGGAATTAATTATATTTAAGCGGTTAATTCGGTGAATTTATATAAAAAAAGAAGAAAAAAGGAAAGAATTTAGTAATTTGTAACACTCATATGTTAAACCATTATATTGATTAAATCTTGGTGTTAATAAAATCTGAGTAAGAAACTTACCTTGAATCGCGATCCGTGACATTTTGAGATCACTCTGGGGAAAATCCAGATAGTGGAAGAATAGAGTCCAATATACTAAAATAATATGCTGTGGCAGATATATAATTTCTATACAAAAGCGTTTAAATTGTTTTAGCGCTAATGTATTTTTTATCTAATAAGCAATCTGCCACAGAGTATTAGTAATAAACCGGGTACCCGATATTATATATTTGTTTGGGTAATCCGGTTTATAATTTAGTTGGTTATTTGAATAACCCGAGTGACTAAAATTTATGTCGGGTATACTCTCTACAGGTGAGGTCCGAAATTTTAAATTTGTAGAATCTTTTTGTATTAAATTAAAAAAAAAAAAAAAAAAAAAAAAAAAGACCTGCCGGGTCTATTTAAAATTTTATACGATAAAACTAATAAATACCTTCAAGACATTTTAGTTCCTCTATAAACGGCCATAAGAAACTATTAAAATCTTTTGGCGACTTTGGACCAGGAATAATTGCAACTATCATTAAATTTTCCTTTCTGACTCTTAGAGATAGAGGTAAGTTTGCATTTAGAAGTAAAATAACCCAACAATTATTTTGCTTTTTTTTGAATAATTGATATCCATCTGTAGAAGCTGTTAGAGCAACATCGCGAGGATCTGAAAATAGACCTGATTCAACTAGGGACTTGTATCGGTTGCCATCAAAAATATTACCAATATTACTATTATTTGATAAATATTCCTCTCTAGAGGTATATTCATTTCGATAACGAAGAATTTTTGCGCGTAATGGATCTTTATACTGCATCCGTAAACTATCTATTACAGAAAAATAGGCAGCCGATTTTCGAGCCTTCTTTAATGATTGTCCGGATACATATCGTGGTTCTCCACAAGTGGGGCACGCTTCATAGTTAATATCGTTTTCGCCAAATAAGTAACAAGAATTCCAGCACATATCAACAAGCTTTGGTTCAAGCGGAATTAAATTTTTGAATGTTCGTTGAAGCTTATATAAAGATATATCTGAAATATTAAATATATTCTTAATTTCGTTGAATGCCTGATCTGTTAAAGAATACTTATTTTTGACATATAAAAGGCAGAGCCCCCGAATTAAATTATCCGTTAGATCTAATTAAAAGAAACTATGTTTTAGTATTAAGTATTTTAAAAAATATTTAATAAATTATATTTAAATAAAATTGAAAAATTTATAAAATTCTAAATTTATTGATTTAGAGTATTTTATTTGTACTACTTACCAATGCCTACAGAAATAGGTTCATCATCGTCACGCTCATCGTCGCCACTTTCTTCTAAACTATTGTCACCACTTTCTTCTAGTTCATCATCATCACTTCCTTCTAGTTCATCGTCGCTCCCTTCTAATTCGTTGTCTTCGCTTTCTTCTAGTTCATCATTGCCACTTCTTTCTATTTCATCGCTATCACTTCCTTCAAATTCACCGTTACCACATCCTTCTAATTCACCGTTACCACATCCTTCTAATTCACCGTTACCACATCCTTCTAATTCACTGTCACCACATCCTTCTAATTCATCGTCAATATTTTCTTCTAGTTCGGATTCTGGCTTTTCTGGTTCAAAATCTAAAAAAAAATAAGGATTCCTGTTAATCTATTCCTTTATCAAAATAATCCAGTCGAAATAAGTGTCCTCAGAGTACTCATAAGAACACTATTATAAATTTGAGCATAATTTAAATTCCTATTATTCTTTATTAAAAATTTTTGGAGAACAAGTAAGATAATAATTGTGTTCTCGTAAGTATATAGAAATCGGCTACATAACATTGTCACGCTAAGCCAAAAATTGATGATTATAACTAGTCGCAATATAATGATAATTGGTACGAAGTAGTTATATTAATTCGAAACTATTTACGAAGTAGTTGCATTAATTCAATACTATTTTAAAAAATCTATTTTTTAAATACGTATGATTAATTAATAATTATTTCGATCATTATATTTAATTTTTTTCGAACCGATGTTTTGTGAACATAAAACAGTTTGAGAACACCAATTATTATTACATTGTTCTCATGAGATCAATATTTGAGTCCAAAAGTTCAAACATTGATCCAAATTGATTTTTTATACCTTTTTCGTGATCAAACGCACTCTCTGACAAATTCGAAACTTCAGCAAAAGGGTTTATTAATGTAGAAGGTGAAGAAATAAAGATGGGATTTTTGACTTCAAATTCGTTATGATGTTGTATATTGTCGTTAATATTTAAATGTTGCACGTTAATTAGTGAAGGTGTAGATATATCCTGGAATTCTTTTTCTTGTCGCCGATGCCTTGTACGAGTAGATACGCTTACATATTTTCCAACATTATTAGATGCATTTCGACAAAATGTACAAGCGCATAAAACTTGTTTTCCCATTATGATTTAAATTAATGTAAAAACAAGCAACTAGTATAAATTAATAAAGCAGTATCTTACATTTATATATAAGTATAAATTATGCCATCACTTCTTAATCACCATTGATTAAAAATAAATAAATCTCTTATATATAAATAAACCTTTTAATTTTTTCTTAAAAATAAAACTTTTAATTTTTTTTTTATAATCGTCATTCTAGCAATAAAGACAGTAACAACAATACGAACATGGAAGCAAACCAAAGCATCGCATTATTACTTCAATTGTTATCAAACCCAACCCTTTTACAACAAACACTTGCAGCAGTTACTCAAAACTCCCAACCTACTACGGTATCGACTTCTTCTGAGCCTACGGTGCCGATTTCTTCTGAACCAATGCAAACCCTTCCGGCACTATCAAGTGCTATTGTAGGTGTCGTCAATACGTCAGTAAGTACTTTATTAGGCACTATATTTTGAAGTTTTATTAGATTCTAAACCAATTATATAATTTAGTTTCCACGTGGGTCAGCGCAAAATCCCATCACCAAGGAAGAGTGGAAACAATGGAAGAAGGCTAAAAAACCTGAAGAAGATTGGAAGGACTTTTTACGCCTTTCTCATGATACTTACTGGTCCTATCGGGTAAGTAATTACATAAGCACATATGTACGTACGTGCATATAATTATATATTATTCTTTTTATGGAAAACAATAATTATTAAAATTAAATTTATTGTATTTAGAGGAACTTGCGTGACAGGTTAGCAACAAGTTGCCACAAAGGCAGATATGCATCAGAGCAAGCACCAGGCAGGATTCGGAAAATTATTAATGATGTACGTGCATGCATATTTCTATCAAATAATTATTTTGTCATGTAAAAACTAACGCTAATAATTATAATTCATAGTTTAAACATGATTTTCCAACATTTTCTATTTCGGTTGGAGACTTTGTTTTACAGAAAATATGTGAAAATATCATTAGAAATTGGGGTAAAAATTCGTATTTCTATTTATTGCCGTTTTCAAATTGGTTGAAGATGATCAGTAAAAAAAAATTTTTTTTAATAAATATTATACTAACTGACAGTGGAGACTAATCGCAAGAACAAGATAAAAGAAGCCCGCGTTAAAGGTATTGCCCCTCTTCCTAAACGCAAGAACGTTATTCCTCCTCCAAGATTCAAGAAACCAACCCCATCTCAATCAACAGTGACAAATTCCGCTATAGGCGACAATGATGATGAAATTGATACTCAATCAATTTCATCTAATGAAAATAATTCTCTTTCAAAGCACAATAGTTTTACCTCTTCCACTAACATCGATGAATCAGAATCATCCACCATTACACCGACAGTAATTGATGATAACAGTTCCGAAGTTAACAGTGACAACGATGCATCTGAATTACCCCCCGTTGCACCTCACACAATGAAATCTTCAAAATCTTCTAAGATTCTAACCAGATCATCTGCAGCAAGTTCTAACGCAATTGAAATTGATAGGCCTAAAGTTAATAACAATAATGACAAGTTCGAATTATCTTCCACTACCCGTCAACTGAGATCTTCAAAATCTTCAAGAATTTCAACTCGATTACTAGCAACAAGTTCTGATGGAATTGAAGTTGATGACCGTATTAATGCTCAATCATCAGGTTTACCATTATCTCCAGTAGAGCAAAATAGAAATAATACTAGTAAGCATTAAAAAATTTGTATATAATACAGAAAGAAAAACATTTTGTAGCATTCGATTTTCTATAATTCACCTTAATGGATTCAATTTTAATTATATTTTTGTTTAATATATAGGGAAAAAAAGACCATCCGGAGTAAATACTGAAAAGGCTTCTAAGAAATGGGCCAAAACCAAGAGCCGCAAATAGGTAAAATACAAAATTATATTTTTGCAAATTGCTTTAACGTGCATGTATAATTTTTGTATTCCGAAATATCTATTATTGTACAAAATTTTATAATCTGGTTTAATTTATATGCGAAGCAATTATTAATGAATCTGATTGTCTTCCAGATATGTAAAGTAATACGATTATTTTGTAAGTTTGGCATGGCTATATTTGATTTACTATATGAAAAAATTGCTAATCACGTTACGTTGCTATTTTGCAGGGATCGACAATCGCAAAACCCAAAGTAAAAATTGTTACACCCTTCATTTATGTGCTGGATATGATACGATAAGATACAATATGATACAATATGATACAATATGATATGATATTATATGAATGTTTTATAAAAAGGATCCAGCTATTAGCGAAACAAATGTATGAAATAATCTAATTACAGAATTATGAAACTATTAAAAATAATCCGATTACTAATAAAAAAATCTTCCTAATTCATATGCAAGATAATCATAAAATGATCCAATCCTAACTATAAAATGATTATTGAGTGGTTTTATTGATCATTAATTTATCCAATTATCAGTACCGTTTCATATATAAATCATGACATAATCCGAATTTATGTTCGGAATCTTTTTTATTGATTGGTCTATTGAAAATAAAGAAAGTCTTCCTAATCTATATGTAAAATAATCATCAAACAATCCAATTATCAACACCATTATATATATAAATAAATCATAACATTACCCGAATGTTGACATAAAATTATCCGAATCTGCTATTATTTTTAGAAGTGCATTTTCAGAATCTCTTTGGAACATTAATGTTAAAAATCATTCCGGAAAATGCTCATTTTTTGGAACAAAATATGGTCATTACCTGGTGATTTTTTAACAAGCCTGAAGATTTTCGGAATACGAACTTGAAAAACAATCGGATAATTATCTGAAATTTTTTGGAATAAGAAGTTCGGAATATTTTCGGAATACGTTGATAGTCATGTTTTTTATAGGGTACACATAGTCAAATTTAGAAATAGTAACAAGATTTGACTATATATAGGTATTAGAAGAACTAGTTTCAGGTTTACAAAGAGCAAAAATTGAAAACATGAAAGAAGTTACTAAAAGTAATCACAAAATAGTAACAGTAAAGATATAAATAAAACATATAATTGTAAAAAGCAGCAAGGCAAAAGTTAAAAGAAAAATTAATTGAGAATAATATACCTTTATAACAAGACAATACTGATCAAAATTTTTTAATATAAAAGGCTGATATAAGGAAGATAGTTAGATAAAATGTTACAAAACAAATATTCAAATATTATATAGAAAAAATAATAATAATTAATAAAATTAGCAGACTATCAGATTAAAATTATAGAATGATATAATAATGTTATACTAAAATTTAAAATTTAAACTAAAATAAAGATAATTAATATAATTATCAATAAATGTTAAGTAATACTAACAAATAGCTAAATAATTATATAAATTATAAAAATATATAAAAAAGAATAATAAAAAAGTTTATATTCTTTATCAATACTCTCTGCTATAGATCTCTTGACTGAAATTTACAGAAAGCAAAAAACCAAATAACATCAAAACACACAAGCAAACAGCATTTAGAGCACTAAGAAAAAAGATAGAGGATTATAGAAATATAATTAACCAAGTTGAAAACAAAAAATAAACTAGAGCAGCAGCAAGCAATAACAAGAGAACAAATTTTTGACTGAATTTTAATAAACAAAATTAACATATAAAGATAGAACAGAACAGATTAAATAAATCCACAAAAAGCTCTTAAAAGAAAAGTTTTAGCACAAAGAAATACAAGCTTTTATTAACATAATAATATAAATATAGCTCTCTTAAACAAGGTTTTAATTAGTTTAAACTTAGCTTAAAAGTTTTGTAAAAATTTTTTATTGTTTTTTTGAAAAAGCTAAAAATCATTCTAGATTTTGAAAACAATCAGTCAAAACACATGGTTAGTTGATAACAAAACAACAATAAACATAACATATTACACATATGATGATATTATCTTAATTAGAAAATAATAGATAAAAATCTTTACATATACTGCTAAGCAGATGAATAAACAACAAACTAATATAAAAATGGAAATACAGTGCAGACTAGGCCTTTCAAATGATACAGAACTAATTTAACATATAAGAGGTTTTGGTAATAGAAATAAAAGATATATAGATAGCAGAATATTAAATAAAATTTTATTGAAGTGAATAAATAATCCAAGTAACATAAAGTACATAGCGAAAGAACTTGCAATCTATAATTCAAAAAACATTTCAATAGATAAAATACTTCTTTATGGCCAAGTACTTGAAGTACTCAAAAGAGTAGAAATCTTTTCAGTAACAAGAAGCATGATAGAAGAATGGGCAGGTAAGCTTTTAGCAGTAAATCAAAACCCAAGATCATTTAATTACTTGTTGAATATGAAGAATGAAGAAATACTAAAAAAAGAAGCAAAAATAAAAAGAATAGAAAAAGGTGAAAATACTGAAAACATGGATATAGTTTATATTGGAAAAAAAAGACAACAATATGAAATTAATAGCAATGAAGAAGACAACACAAATCTAAATATAATCATCAGCCAAATGCAAGATCTTAGCATATTAACATCATCATATTGAGAACCAGTAAAATATCTAAACAAAGAGATTAAAAAGTTAGCAATAACAGCAGATGTAAACAAAAATAATACAAGAGATAAGAAAGCTAAAGAAAGCCAAGAAAGTGCAGCAGATTTTCTATGACAAATAAAAAAAGGCAAAATAGTAGATTAAGATCAAAAGAGTATAGATTCAACCAAAGAAAATAATAAAACACCTATACTAATAGACACAATAGAACATAGCCAATAGTTCTCAACAAATCAGATATATGACAAAAGCAGATTATTCAAAGCAAATATGCCAACATATGCAATATCAGATGCAAATAAAGACAAAAAATTAAAATATATACAATGAATTCTATATAGCAATCATCATATTAAAATGATTAAAGAGGTCTTTAAAAATAAAAACAGCTGGATTGAGGTAGATTTCGACTGCAAATTCAGTAAGGATGTGCAATGAATAGAATCAAAAAAAGGAAGAAAATGGCTAAAACTTATTTCAGAAAAAAACAAAAAGCCAAGAAAAGAAACTGAGCTGCCAAACAGTAAACAACAATGGAAGAGACAAGATTAAATTCAAAGAATACAAAAAAATTGATAAAAAAAAAGCTGATAGAAACATGTACCTAGCAGAAGATAAGTCAAAGTTATATATATACTTAACAATATAAGATTTATCAGCAAACATTAATGCAGAAGAAGTAGAATATATATATAGAAATCTTAAAGAAACTCAAATAAAATGTATTAAAAGATCTAAATATAAAGTCTTAGCTATTGTTAGAGCAAAAAATATAAAAGAAGAAAACATACCATGGTTCTTACCAATTAGCATACATAGGCTAGCAAGAGTAACTATAAGAGAAAAAGACTTTAACCAACACAATTCACGAAACCAGTTCACAGCAAAAATATTAGAACTTTTAAGTGATGTATCAAAAGTATTACTATTATAATGCTTAAAGCAAAATCAGTATATATTTCATTCAACAGGAATGGAAATCAGAGAAGATCTGTAGCAATAACATTTGCAACAGAGAAAGAAATAAGTGCAGCACAAACAAAGCCAGTAAGATTTAATAATCACTTATTATTTTAGTTGAACTATGTTGAAAAAAAAGAAAAAGTAAAAGAAAAAGTAATACTACAAGTTACAAGAGAAGAGGTTACAATAGTAAAAGCTCTGATAAAGAAATATATGAAAATAATAAAAAAAAAGAAAGTAAACAAAGAAACAACAAGAACAGAAATAATGACAGAAATAGAGAGTATCACAGAGAAAACTTAATAATCAAAAATTAGAAGCAGAAGAAGATAAAAAAAGAAAAGAAACTCCAATCTTAGACATAAGAAGAAACCTTACATATTGAAAATATCTTAGAATAAATACTAAAAAGATTAAAAAAACTAGAAGAAGACAAAGAGAATAATAGGATAAACCAACCTAAATGCTCCTAAGAGTGCCACAGTTGAATTAATGAATATAAACAAGGAAATTGAAGTATTTCTGCAAAATAAAAGAAGGGTTTTTGAAGAGAAAAAAGAAATTAGATCTTCTTGTCAGGAAGAAAAAGAGTATAGAGCAAAAAAAGAAAAAGTTAAAAGTATAAGAACAAGATGAAAACCACTAAAAGAGAAATGAAAAGAAGAAAAGAAAGAGATAAAGCTAGCATGCTACAACATTAATGGACTTAAGACCAAAGGTTAAAAATTGGAAAATTTGCTTAGCTAAACAGAAGAAGAGAAAATTGCAATATTAGGAATTACAAAAATAAACATTACTAAAAAAAAAAGAAAGGTTTCTAATATATGCAGCAAGCAAGAACTATATAAGGTATTGGTCAAATGTAGCAGAAGATAAGAAAAAAGGATCAGGTATAGGAATACTAATAGAAAAACAATAGAAAAAGCATGTAGGTGCAGTTAAGAGAATAAATGAATATATGATAAAGATTACATTATACTTTAAACACTTGGAGTTAGTAGTAATAGGAGTTTATATACTACTAAATAACAAGATGATAGGAAGAAACATCTAACAAAAGATTATAGAAATAGTTACTAAACAGAAAAGACAAACACAAATTGTAATTATGGGTGACTTTAATCATACAACAGACAATATATTAGATATACAATATTTTTTTTTTTTTTTTTTAACCTTTGGCAGTTACGCTAGTACTTTATTAAGATTCTAGAAACTATAAAATTACATAGA